ACATGGCCAGTTAATAGTGGAGCTAGGGTGTAAACCCATGCTCTTAACTCCTGTGTTGTGTATTGTTAACTCACTTCTTTTCTTTCTCTGCTTTTTTTTTAACCTGCCCCCAATGTCCAGTGATTTATTAACCCATTCTTGAAGACCCACCTTGGCATGAGTCTCAAAACCTTTCCTTGAAAGACATGGTCCTGCATTAGAAAACAATTGTCTTAACGATATTATTGGGATAATTGGTAATTGAATATCAACAGTGTATTACATACTAGTACTGTATCATTGCTAAATTTCTTAAATGTAATGATTGCATTATGGTCAGATCTTTAGGGGTGAAGGGCATAAAATCTATGACTTATTCTTAAATGGTTCAACAAATTAATGATAATAATAAGCTTATATATAGACAGATGAATAGGTAAATATATTGATCAATTAGTAGTTTATCATTAGATAAAATATAGAGTTCATTGTACTGTTCTTACAACATTTCTGTAGATTCGAAACATTTTTAAAATGAAAGGTTGAGAAGAAAACACTGAGGCAGTAAGACATATGTTATATACTAATCATTTTAATACTATTAACAATGCTATGAGTTAGGTGTTATTACTGTCCTCACTTTAGGGAACAGGACACTGAGGCACAGAAACTTTAAGGACATGGTTTAGTGTCATTGCCAGTGAGTAGGAGAGGCAGGACTCAAATCCTGATATGTATTATTTCTGTTTCTGTAACATCCTGCATATGTTAGGTTGAACCATGTGGAAATTGCTCTTATTCAATCATGTTTGACCTGTAAAGAAACCATTACACATGACCCAACCTAGGAGTAGGGATCGCCCCTTTTATAATGAATAGTTGGTTTGGTGTTCGTCTTTATGACCAGAATATCGGCTCCATGGGGACTTAGACTGTCCATCTTGCTCACCATTGTCTCCAGGGACTGTCTGGCTTGTGGTTGGCATTGATAAGTGTCAGCTGAATGAACAATAACAACCAAAAAAATTTTGGTTATTTCTCCCTACCCAGCTCCCATATATATGCCATTTCTGCTTCCCCCGTATCTGTGTCATTTTTTTAGAGGAACCAGTGTATAAACATAAACCATTCTGAAGGATGAGGCCTCAGCAGGGATAATCGTGACATAATCAACTATTTGACTTTGAGAAAACCTTTAAACTAATAGAGATGTTAATTAAAAACATGCCCTTGCCAAGATGACCTCTTAGTTTAGAAACTCTAAAATGCAAACCATTTGTGCTCCCCTCTAGCATGCAGTGATTTTGGCTAGAATGTATGTGGCACTCAAGATGCCATCCACTTGGATTCTTATTTGAGCAGTAAACACATTTTTAAAAAACATTGTGCAGACACTAAAAATAAGCGGTATTTCAAAATGAAAACCAGCGCACAAGTAGTTGGCACATCTGGTAGTAAGAAAAGTTGTACGGTTTTGTTTTCAGGGAATGACAAGCCAAGGAACATTCAAACTTGGCCAATTGAAAACTTTTTCCTATCTGTGGTGACACCTGGTTTTAAAAAAATTGGCTCCAGACTCAAAGCCGATAGAACATTGGAAATGAGTAGAGAATTAAATAGAATCATCCACTATCTTGTTTTATGCAAGGGATTATAAAGAACTGTTTTCTTTTTACTGCAAGAAAGAAAATGGATCAAAAAAGCGATGACAGTCATGAACAACAATAATAGCAACATTAGCAGCTAATACCCATTGAGTACCTATTATGTGCTAGACAATGTGCAGAGACCTTTACATGTGTAATTAATATTAGATGTACAATAACTTTATGAGGTGATGTTATTTTTATTCTCATTTTACAGGTGAGAAGACACAGTATAGAGATAAGGCACACAAATGTTTAATTTGCCCTAGACACACAACTAGCAGAAGTGTGTGTGTGTGTGTGTGTGTGTGTGTGCGTGTGTGTGTCGGGGTTGGAGGGAGGAATCCTAGGCAGGTAGGAGAGCCCGCCCTCCACAAACACTGTATGATTCTGAGTAGTCTGGAGGTGTTCATTTGTCTAGCATTATTAAAAAAGAAATTAGCTGGATGGTTGCATTGACCACAGTGGCTCTTGGTCAAACTGTTGTTTGCCTCCACTGTTGAGACAGATGATATTGTTTTCCAGAACATTCTCCCAGCTGTGCCACAAACATTGTATGTTCCCTAGAAATTTGCCATTCAGCTTCATGCTTCAAGGATGCCAGATGGATTCTTGTCAGAAAGCTGTCATTCCTTTGGAGTTAGATGAGGTTCAAGTTGACCAGTGTATTTGGGAGTAGGAGATGTTATAGTAAAAATCATGGGGACACTGGTAAGTTAGCAGTACTGTGGAGAAGTGTCATAGGATCTACTTAGTTGGAGTTTGTTTTTGAAAAATGGCACTTCATTTTAAAAAAGTAAACCAGGAGGATTTCAGTGGAAATTATTTGTCAGTATTTAATATTCATGTATAACTATCCTTTATTTTCACTCATTTCTTCTTAACTTCATTAACAGACTTTATTGTTTATGTTCTCTATAGGCCTCGGGCTAGGTGCTGAGGAAGCAGAGATTCTTCAAACAAGGGGTTTAACTTTAGAGAGCAGTAAAGTATAAAATAGAAGGGGGTGACAAGCATGTAAACATTTCAGTCCCCTTGAGGTTTTGAGGCAGATGTGTTATGAGAGACCATTGGGAAATGAAAAGAAGAATTGGTCATATCTTCCCAGCTGGCAGAGGGGGAGGGATAGTTAGAGAGAAGGTGACCTTTGAATTGAGACCTTGAAGATGCAGAGGTGTTCACTAGGTAAACAAGTTAGAGGAACGGTGTTCCAGGCAGAGAAGAGCATAAGTAACACAAGGGTTAACCAAATTTTCAGCCATCATATTGTTGTTTGTCCATTATTTGCACATATTTTCGCAGAACATTTCTGAAATCTCAACACCATGCACAAGTTTAATTGACAGTGTGTGTTTACTGGTACATAAAATAATAGTATGCCTTACAATATATGGCATCTTAGATTTGATGAAAGAACGTATTAATGGGCTTTGCCACCAAGTATGCTGTTCCAGCTGCTAATATACCTTTATTTTAGAGACAGATATTAATACCTTTTTACCGAGGAAGAAACAGGCATGAAATGAGGGAGTTGCTTAGATGAATATATATGACACTGGATTAGACAGAATACCTGATATCTGATGTTGCTTTTCATGGCAGTGGTTGGTAGGGATAGGACCTGGAAAGAGAATTTGAATGTCTTTTATACTGAACTAGGCTATGAACCATCACATTGCCTTTTCTCCTGGGTAAAAAGGAGATTTAAAAAGCAAATGGCATGTAGCTTGTTGGATTTATAAAGATACTAAGTTTATGATCGTTGCATAAAAATGTACCCACTACTCTTGATGACAAGATAAAAACCCTGATGGTACAGTGTTATATGAATTGTGAACACAGACTGACTATAACTGATCTTTCAAGGCACAAGAAGATGCATTAGATGTAAGCTGCAGTGGGAGAGGTAGAGGAAAGGTTCTGGTTTGTGTACCTGAAAAAAAAATCAGAAATTTCCATTACAACTAATGATCTTGGAAAGTATCCAAGGAACAAACAAAGCATCCAGCACCTAAACCTAAGCATCTAGGGCCATGAAAATATACCCTAGTGGAATCTGTTTCTGATGTCAGTAAATCCCTGTGTGGCCTTGGGCAAGTCAATTACCACTTGGATTTTAGCTTCCCAGAGGGCTGCACTATGGCAGACTTTGTGCCAGCAATAGATGTGACTTTCCCAGTGTTTTTGAGATCTCGTTTCATTGTTGAGTGCATAGTGATTGCTCTCTAAGGTCTTATTTATTTTTGAGTTTTGTGGGCCCTTAGAAGAGAATGTTACAAAAAGTGACAGTCATTTTTTGCCTATTGTTTTAGTTTTTGGAAAAACAATAGAAAATTATGCCTACTATGGCTAAGGAAAGTTACGGTGATGCTTTTCCATCTACTTCGATCCCAAATATATCAATGAGAAAGATGGAGAGTTGGTGAGAAAATTTTAGAGCCTTATTTGTTAAAAACTGAGATCATATTTATTTTCATTTGTTTGAAATGGGAACAGAGTGTACAGTCACTGAGACTTGACTAGGTAGTTTGCAAAAAAAAAAAGTTTGAAAAAGTACATCTATGTAAAAAGAATGTCTAGAATGATTCAACCGTTATTTTTTTTATAAGTGAGTCATGACAGTGTTTGCCTTCTCCTCTTTGCTTTTCACTTTTCCCTAACAACACAGATTCTTGTGAGTTTCTTTTTCTTTCTCCTTTGAGTATGTACCAAATTTTACTACATTAGAAAATTGTTACTAATGAAATGAAAAATCTGTGTCAAATTTGGTTACCATGCTGCTTTTAGAATGAGTGTTTTGTTTATGGCTCTCGTCCTGATTTTTTTAAATTGTGTATATGTCCAGTGACAGTGTATTGGGATGAAGAGGAGAAATCAAGATTGGAGAGATACAGCCAGACTATATCCTTTTAAAGAGCCTTTTTGGAAGGTCAGAATTGGAATGAAATAAACCAGTTAAACAAGTCCCCTCCTCCCCCAACCCCCACAGTGTCAGCTTTCCTTGCTGGGTGATTCAAGATATTAGCTATTCTAGAGAAAACTTAGTTTGACATAGGTAATCCCATCTACTTACCACCTTAACTCTTAAGGTAAGGAGATGATAAAATATGATTCTTAATATAACTTGGCACTTCTACATTAAAGGAGCAAAATATAAGCACATTTTCTATAAGTGGTGATCGTAGATGGGTTTCTGTTGTAGCATTATAGATTTTTCATTGGAATTAGAGGAAGATTTTTAGTAACACCAATACTTGAAAAAAAGATCCAAGGACTGTCTCCAAAGATGGGTCCCGATAAAAGTGTGCACATGTGTGTTTTTACTACTTTCTGATGTAAGGGACATGAAAGCTAACCTGATTCATTTGTTTTTAGGGGCTCTTGGCTTTGGGCCTCAGTGCAAGTCCATTGGAAAAGGCAGCTGCAACAATCTAGTGGTCACCAGCAGCCCCATGATGGTTCAGCGACTGGGACCCATTTCACCTCCAGCAAGCCAGGTCTCTACAGCATGCAACCAGATCAGTCCTAGCTTACAGAGGGCAATGAATGCAGCCAACCTGAATATACCTCCTTCAGATACCAGGTCTCAAGTTACTTTTTTTCCCCTTCCTATGGTATAATCACACCCCAAGAGTGTTTTTTCCTCCCTTCCTGAACGCGTGCATACACACACACACACACACACACACACACACACGCACACACACACGCACTTAAGCAACTCCTTCAGTTTGAGCTTTTGTAGGGGAATGTGTATAAAAACTAAGTACATGCTATAATATCATCTTAATTGGGAAGAATGGTCTATACCTGCTGTCTTGTGGTATGAGTGAAATTAATAAGCAGCTTGAGATTTTTGGGCCTCGGTGACTAAAGCCCATTGTGTAAATTTGTCAATTCCTAGTGAAGCAAGTCATGTGTCACAGACTAGAAAATTGAGATGTTCCATGTGCATCTATCTTCCCTGCTCGTTTTTCAGTATGTATGTTGCAGTGTCCCCAGGCTGCTTTACAACTGTTTGGTTTGTCCATCTATTTCCCCATCCCACATGTCTACCCAAGTATCTATTAAATGTCTATTGTCTGAATAATATAATAGTTGACGTTTAGGGAGATAGAAAAAATAAAGACAGAAATCATGAATTTTAAGACTTTACGATGTGTCTGGGGAAACATGCTTTCATGTACGAGTTACATAACATTTCAGCACAGTGTCTAATTAGGTGCTGGAATAAATAGGTCCAATAAATACCACATATCTCTCGATGGGAGAGTTTGAATATGAAAGGGAAACCACTCTCTCAGACAAATACATCTCTCAAGATTGATATTAAAGGGGACATAAAATCAAAATACTGTGAAAGGTATAAGATCTATTTCTATGTTTGAAATGAATTATTTCATCTTCTAGAAGTTTTATTCTTGGAGAAACACAATCCACAGTTTTTTCCTCTTAGTCCTGCCTCTGCTGTAGCTGATTTTGCGAAGGAATTTGACATGCTGGTCCTCTGCTTATTCTTATTAGGGGGCTAGAATCCACTGAGTAGTCTTGCTCTGAGATCCTGTTTGTTCTTCCTCTCCATCTTCCTTTTTATTCTGTTCCTCTCTTGTATCTCTTCACTATCCTCCTAACTGCTATTTGAGACTATGAAATCATAGTTCTTGGATCATATTTTATGCCAATTTTTTCACGATATGGAAACTTGTTTTTCACCTGAGTCTTTTTGTGATGGGAAGCTGCTGCTGTCATTTCCTCATTGATGATTATGCCTTGAGGGGCTCCTCAGACTTAATGAATGTTGCATGTAAAATTAACTGTACTTGTGGGTAGGTGTTATTGGGAAGCCTTCAGCTTCCTGTCAGTGGCAAGTCCAGCCCATGCCTTGAAGGCAGCCATAATTAATGGAGAAACTGATGGTAGGCAGCGCACAGGCTACTCCAGTTATGTACCTAACACAGTCCCTTTCATGGATTGACTAGGGAAGGGTCATTATCTCAGTGTTTTCTGGCATATTTGATTCCTTAGCATAATTTTATATCCTTAAAAGACAACATCTTAAAGATAGATTGACATGTTCTTGACTATATATTCTGTGAGTCCTTCTGTTGAAATAATTTTTTTGCAGAATGGGCAAAGAAACAGGACTTGGGGAAATGGCTTGGTGAAGTGTGGAACTTTTAGCAATTTGGAGAGGTCGCATTTATTTGTGATTCTTGGTTTTTATGCTCAAACAGAGGAGAGAAAGGATAGAAGGCAACAGTTCAACTTGAAGGCATTTTCTGTCTAGGGATAAAGATGGAGAGAGAATCAGCTTTGTACTTTATCCATGGCAGGGCAGGAGGTGGGAAAGAGCATGAGCTGTTCAGTCTGAATGATGGCCACCCTATAAAAAGCTATAAAGTTAATTTTTTCCTGATCATCTATGTAATTCTTACTCATTTTAGAAAATGTGGAAAGTACGGAAAAGCGCAAAGCAGTTATCCTGAATCTTACCACCTACGGGCAACCATGGGTAGGCTTTTGATATACATCCTTCTAGTTATATGCAAACATATACATCATAAGCATAGGTTTTCCTTTGTACCAAATTGATCTAATAATCTACAGTGTTATAATTGCTTTTTTTCAGTTAGTATAAACATTTTATTTTGTAATGAAAGTCTTCAGCATCATATAATGGCTTCTTCCTGCTCAAGATTGCATTTTATTTAAAAAGCATATAAATAAAACTACAGTTTTTTATCAGTCTTTTATTACTGGGCATTTAGTTTCACTTTGTCTCAACATTATGAGTAATACTTTATTGGATAATCATGTAAATATTTTATCGCATATCTCTGGTTATTAGAATAAATTCTCAGAAGTAAAATTTGCTGAGTTAAAGGAAATGTACAATTTTGAGGCTTTTGATATGTATTCTCAAATTGCACTGTAGAAAAGGCTTACCTGCTTATAAACTCACCAAATCTGAGAGTTCTTGTTTTCCCATATCTTATCAAATACTAGGAAGTATTATTTTTATTAGTTTTGCCAATATTATTTTATCTTAATTTGCATCTCAAGTATTGATAACAGCGAATAGTTTTTGTACATTTACTTACTGTATTTCTTCTTTTGACCTCCTTTGAGTATTTTTTTTCTGGAGTGCTTATTTTGGAAAAAGCACTCTTCCTTAGCTTTGTTTAGTTCTATTTAATCCAAACAAGAGAATCATGCCCTAATGCTGTGTATTTGCCTTTATTAATTTACGAACCATTTCTGACTAGCCTTACTTAATGAGAAATGCAAACAATACCTTACCATCCTGAAGATCTGGGAGCCATTCTTAATTTAGACGTTGCCAAAACCATGTAATACAGTAGACCATTGTATATATTTTCCCTAAAGTGACAAGGCTGAGGTGCTGGTATGATAACCTCATACAGTGGCTTTGTATATAAATCTAACAAAAGTGGGGCAGCAGAAAAGATTGGATGCTATTTGCATGGGTTTTGTGTATGTTAGTTTTTCTAGTGCTTTCACAAACATTGTGATTCTACATTTTATGACTGAATATTCATAAACTACCTGCAGGTATTATCTCTACTTTATAGATTATGAACCCAGGACACAGAAAGTCTAAATGCTTTGCCTAGTGTCACTTAGCTCTTCAGTTATAAAATTCAACCATCAATCTAATGTCACTCCAGATCTAAAAAGACACCATATTTATCTTCTTAAACCAGAAATTATTGAGGTGGTTTCTGGGGATAGAATTTCCTCGGGTTTCCTTTTGGGTTGGAGTATGTTCCCAAAGCTCAGAGAAGGCCAAGGGGGCTGAGAATGGACTCTGGGCTCTCTGTAAGTTCTAGCATTTTATAAAGCCATCCTGTGTTCACATACAGTGCTAATTCTTCTGGGAGATTTGTCCAGGAACATTGACAAGAACTTCCATATAAATAATTACATATTAAAGTTATTTATATAATAATATATCATTATATGTTTATGTAATGTATACATAAGTATATAATTACATGTTTATGTAATGTATACATAAATATATAGTATATTTATGTAATGTATACATAAAATAATTATATGTATAATTTTTCCTCCTGCATCATTTGAGGAATTCCACGTAATCTGTAAGTTAGTATTTCTTTTGAGTTTGACATTGAACCAAGTCATTCAGCTTGGTCATCACCCATCTTATGGTCCCATGAGAGTTACTGAGCTCTTGCTTCACTAGTTACCCTCGCATTTTTCACTGATAGTTACTGAGTTTTTCATATTGTTTTTATTTTGTTTGAGCTATATCTCTTTCCTTTCACATATAGCTCCAAATTAACCAGTCACTAGAAATAATATTTCAAGGATCAGATGAACATATGGAAATGAAGATTGCTCCCAGTACAGAGCTAGCACCACAACTCTGTCACTTTCTTTCCCATATACCTGATGTGCGTAGCAGCAAGGGTTATAGGAAAGAGTCCTTGGGAATCTTTCACAGTCATTCAACATATTGTTGCAGAAAGAGAACAAAAAATTTGGGCTCCAATCATAGCTTATATGACTTTAAGCCTCATACCAGGTCCTTTAATCAACCAGAGCATTATGGACCACATATGGGGTATAATGTGGGGAAAACAACAGAAGATGTATGTGATCCAGCTAGGTGACTGCCAATAAGGAATTTGGCCCTTAAATAGAGGTTATTTAAAAAAAAAACCCAGTTTACTTACCTTACAAGCTGTATTAAATGAAATAATGTATAGAGAAAATGCTTTGTAAGCTATAAACGATGGTTAGTTATATTGATTATTCACCTTCTTAATAAACAATTTTTTGAAAACGTGTTACATGTATAACTCTCTGGTAGGTACTGGGGGAAGTAAAATGATCCCTTACGTTGAAAGATTTTGACTTTTATTGAGAAAGATAATTTTATTGAGGAAATCAGCTACATTTAAGGCACAGTAGAGATAGTATATAACTTCCTTGGAAAGAGAACTCTTATTGAGAGCTAGTGTATTTGAGAGATGTTTCATGGATTAGAACATGGATTAGAAAGATTAAAAGAACTGGGTAATTGCACAGGAGGGATGAGAGCTGCTAGGCAAAGACCATTTATTGGAAATTTTGTTCTTATTACATATTCGAGATAGAAAGGAGAGTTCTCTGTGCGTATGATTGCCTTAGTGAATAGAATATAGACATTGCTTTCTAAAAAATGTATGATAACTATTTTAGAAAACTGAGATGTCTAAGGACTTAAGGAACATGCCTACATGGAGTTATGCGCAGGTTTAAATTGAACCATAGTTAAGTATAATTTGAGAAAAATAAGAAATATCTCTACAATGAAACAAATAACCATGTTTCACTATAGTCTGCCCTCAAACCAAATAATATAATTAGATATGCAAAGTACATACAAGTGGATGAAATACTTTCTGCCTGCTAGTCACTGCTTAAAAATCTAAAATGGTCCAGTGTGACAGTGACCAGGCAAATGCATCATCTGAGAATGTTCTATAAACTTTCTCAACCTCAGGGTATAAAGCAGTCAGTTGTCTCGCCTCATGTATGACACAACTACTGATTTGACTTGGGTCAGAAAGCAATTCCTGGATCTTCTTGGGGAAGGGACCAAAAGGCCCTTGACATCCAGTCACTAGGAACCTTCAGCTGAGCTCTGCAAGGAGAGCTGCATGCTGTGGGTATGCTGGGAAAATAATTGAAAGTGTCCATGGGGAATTAAAACACAGATGGTTCAGAAATCACTTTGGGCTTGCAAGAGGACTTCGGTCTGAATATAAGGATGTAGACCAAGAAAAAAAATCTGTGTCAAGGGCAACTGGACGTAAATTCCTGCTTTGTTTGTTATTGGTAAACATTACTTCTCTCGATGGAAGCATCACATCGATAATTGTGTTATCTATCACCTTATATGTGCATTTTGGAGTTGAGATATTTTTTGGCTAATATCTCATGCTTATAGGAAACAGTGTTCCTGGCTTCCATTTTGTAAAAAGGAGTAAGAGGAACAGATGTGATAAGAATGCTTTTCTTTTCCCTCAGTTCCTTTGCAACAGGTTGCTGTTTAACAGCTGGAAGTAGTAAATGGTTTTTTTTTTTTTTTTTCTGGGAAGACAGACATTCTGTATGATGTTTTGTTTTGATTTTTTTCTGTCAGAAAAGGATCTCTGTAGAAAGCCAAAACAGGTACATATAAATAAGCCAGATTTTTCTCATACCCCATGTCAAAGTTGAGAAATACAATGAACTGTGTCTAGCTTTTTGTGACAAATTTTCCATTCAAGAGATACAGCTTTTCTCTTTGGTGATTTTTAAAGTAATGATGCCATCCATAGTAAAGCAAAATGAATTTTAAAGTGGCCAGACTATATTACAGTGTTTTGATGTGCAGGTAAATACTGTGACATGTGAGGCATGTTTTGAAAAGGGTAAGAACAGGAGAGAAATTGTAAATTACTGAAAGCTATTGATCTGCTTTTGTCCCAAAGTGGCTCTGATTTAAGGACAATGCTCATGGAAAACCCAAAACTGTAGAGTATGATTAAACTCTGCTCAGCCCATATGCATAGTTCCAAATATGACTTGATTTCAGGTTGTTACTCCCTTATATATATTATAGCTATATTCATATTTTTTCATTTCCCAGGTTGATTCAATATTATAACTAAGTACTGATAGCATGAATCGCTATCTTAAAAAAAAAAAAAACTTTAAAATTCCTTAATATGAGTGAACAAAGTTGCGAAATTCTTATTAGGTCTCCTGGATGACCCTTTGACTTTGAGGATTCACTTTTTTTGTAATCAAGCATGGGTTTATGTTTTACCTTACCAAATCAATTTTACTCAAAGGCTGACACTATGTTTAGACTCGTATTCCCTGCAATGCCTATTGTAGTGTACTGCACACATTAGGTGCTTAATAAATGCTTGGGTTTTTGGTTTACTGTGACAGACATCAATTATTATTTCCAAGTCTGTAAGTTTTCCCCCTACATTAAAAAATATTTAAAAATAAAGCAAGGACTATTTATTATCATTAAAGTATTAAGATTATTCATAACAATAGATCTTTTGTTTTATTAGTCCAGTGAGCATTTGCCTTTATTGTTCTTCTTGGTAAAATGTTATTTACCTGGAACTAAAAGCCTTTGCGTTATCTTAGCCAAAGTATGTGTGTTTAGCCGAGAATGTAATTAGGGGAAATACTTAAGGGATTGTCAATGCAATGTTCTTTTAGCTCTTAAGCAATCCATATCCTGCTAAAATGTTTGCCTTTTTTTTTTTTTTTTCTTCTTTTCTGGCTGCTGCTCCAGGTCCCTTATTTCACGTGAGTCTTTGGCGTCCACGACTTTGAGCCTGACAGAAAGTCAGTCTGCTTTGAGCGTGAAACAGGAGTGGTCTCACGGCTACAGGGCTCTCCCGTCGCTCTCCTCCAACCACAGCTCTCAGAATGGCATTGATCTAGGGGACCTGCTTAGCCTTCCTCCTGGGACATCCATGTCCAGCAACAGTGCCTCTAACTCATTGCCATCCTACCTTTTTGGCATGGAAAATAGCCACTCTTCGTACCCTAGTCCCCGAAACTCTTCGGCCAGGTCCCACTCGGCCCGCTCCAAGAAGAGAGCTCTATCTTTGTCCCCGCTGTCCGATGGCATTGGGATAGACTTCAATACCATCATCCGCACCTCTCCCACCTCTTTGGTCGCTTACATCAACGGGTCCAGGGCTTCCCCGGCCAACATGTCCCCGCAGCCTGAGGTCTATGGGCATTTCCTGGGAGTGCGCGGTAGCTGCATTCCCCAGCCGTGTTCGGTCCCTAGCAGCCAGATGGGTGTGCGGGTGGCCAGTGGTGGCCTGGCGCTCCCGGCCTACGGCGAGGACGGCTCTCTGGAGTACGAGCGCATGCAACAGCTTGAGCACGGCGGCCTCCAGCCTGGCATGGTCAACAACATGGTGGTGCAGCATGGCCTGCCAGGCCCTGACAGCCAGCCCGCCGGCCTGCTGAAGACCGAGCGCTTGGATGATTTCTCCCGCAGCGCTTTAGACCTGGCCTCCGCGCCACCTTTGCAGCCAACGCCCCAAGGGCCCCCACCTCCCTACCACGCCCACCCGCACCTGCCCCACCAAGAGCTCGTCCCCCACACCCAGACGCTGGCTCTGCCCCAGGCTGTCCTGGAAGAGGATGGGGAATTGGACGATGTCGGGGGCAAGCACTGCTGTCGCTGGATTGACTGCAGCGCTTTGTATGACCAGCAGGAGGAACTTGTACGGCACATAGAGAAGGTTCACATAGATCAGCGCAAAGGGGAAGACTTCACTTGCTTCTGGGCAGGGTGTCCTCGAAGGTACAAGCCATTCAACGCCCGCTATAAACTGCTTATCCACATGAGAGTCCACTCCGGAGAGAAGCCCAACAAGTGTACGGTGAGTTTTCCAAAGCCCACGGGAGCCCACTGAAAGTGCATTTGGGTTTTTTTCAAACTTGGCCCACGAGACTTTTATGGATTTTGGATGTGTGAAGGATTAGGTATTCATGAGATTAGACTCCTCTTCAGTCTGAGGAAGGTTTCTATAATTATTAGCTGCTGGGGTATCTCTCCAGTTCTTGATTCTCTTCCACAGATGTACAAGATGTATCATGTCAAGGGACATTGATCTGCCACAGTGTCCAAAAAAATCTTGGAAAACATGCCTGCCAGGCACCAAGTTGGAGTTGCTGAAATGTGCAGGGCAGAAGAACACACACTGTACCACCCCCAGTCTTTTCCAAAGCAAATATTCAGTGATTTCTTTTCTCTAATAACTGGGGTAGTATTGGGGTTGGGGGAGGGGTGGTTCGGATATTTGGAAAGAACTCACACCTAACAACTTGGCTAGTAAAAGTGTTGCTTCATGCACCCTCATGCCTGCACACTCCAGGCTTTTGAGACTAGTTAATGATTTATAGCCAGCATAAAAACACCCATGGGATACCACAAGAGCAGATCTCACAGGATCTCACTGAATTTTAAGGAGAGAGAATTTTGTGGAAAGGTACAGGAGGGGAATGCGCCTTTTGTGTTGAATGAAGTAGGCATGGTGTTTCTTTATTCTCCACCTTCCCCTTTCATAACATCGATCCTGGACCTATCTCTGTTCCTTGGGAAAATTGACTATTTTTTTAATTATATGACTCAAATGATTTCACAATCATTTCACACCTAAAAGAAATCCTCAGGGTTTACAAGCAGGACTTCACCCTTGGGGGATCACAGAGCAACTTTGCACAATCTCAGACAGCTCACTTAACCCTTGGACAGAAGAATAGCATGCATTTCATATTAGTTTAGATGGATAGGATTATTTATTTTAGAGTTAAAATCTGAAAATTATAGGTACTTTCTGGATAGTGAATATGCTCCAGGACACTAAGTGTGTGAAATGTATAAATCATTTTGAAAAGGAACTTATTTAGATGGTGGTCTCTGAGACAGTTTCTTTTTTCTACAATATGTCTTGATGATAAAGAATCTGGACACTGTTCTTGTTTCATTGTAGATTGGCCAAGTTGTCTGATTCATTTAAAAACAAACCAAACAAATGATAGCTGTAATGCAAGTATTAGAAGCACTTTTTCACCATCCAGTAGGTATTTTTGAAAGTTTTAAGAATTTCTGGTGGAATGAAATTGCATTTCTTGTCATTACATTGTGCCACATGTTGTGATTTTTCTTAAGGAAAACCTGAAACTGTTGTTGAGAATGTTATGAGAATGCCAGGTTATAGGAGTGAAAAGAATAATTACATTCCAGGCGGCAAAACCTTATTCTGTCAGTAGGGTTCTGCACTAAAAATGCCAGAAAGAGACAAGCAATTGAAGGCATTTCCATTTACTCTGTTTGGAACACACTGGCCTATTGCAGGCAGGAAAGACATTCAGTCTCTGAACGAAAACAGTCCAACCTTTTAGTTATGACTAATCCTGGCTGAAAATAGTTTGCTGGATTTGGCTTTACTGAAAAAAAACATAAAGGCTTGAATTATCCAAAAATAATTTTTTGCATTGCAAAATTAATTTTTGTGCAATAGGATTTCCCTGTTTTTCCCACTGTTCTCAGACTTCGCAAAGGCATGTAACAAGTTGACTTTTGCTAAAGTGCATGATGACTATTAAAAATAGAAATACTTCAGTGAAAGAATAAGCTGGGAGGTGAATGTTTGCAGGCCCCTGCAGAGCTTTTCATTGTGTTGTTCAAGATGGGCATGGGAGGTGATTTCTCTCTCCCCTGGTCTGCCCACTCCCCACTCTAAATGGACCTTTGTAAAATTCAGATTGCTAGATTTAAATCCATATCAAATTTAGAACCACAAAGCATTTACTTACACATGTTATAGTGCAAGTGTATTTACACAGAACAGAGTTTCTTAGGAGCTGACTAATGCTACAATTCAAGTCTTGGGACTATATATTTTAAGCAGGAAGACATCCATTTTCATATAACACATACATATCATGAGCATTATGTTTTCAGAAAACTGTTATGTTGCTACATGTCCTTTGCTTGATTTGTAGGGCTATAGCTAACTGGCTAATTTTGCTAGTAAAGTTTAGCAGTCTCCTCAGGTCGTAGTCCATGGATAGAAGACATTGTGTTTAATATGAATGAACATCTGAAAAAGATGCATTTTTCTGCCTTTTGCAAAACCAGTCTTTACACTCTTGAAATCCAGACACAAAGACCTGTTAAAACTGAAATGTTTTATCTCTTACTGCTTTGAAATTTGATGATAGTTGATTCAAAGCTCAAGATCCTTGCCAAGGAAAATGACCACATTCCTCTTTTGGAGACATGAAGTGATCTTTGGGTTTTTGTGGCTGTGTCACATGTTGCAAAGGTTAGGAGCTGTTTAAATTATAAGACCCAGTCCACTTTTGTTTTACATATATTTAACTGCTATTAATTTTATGTGGACCATAGTTAGAGTTAGTCATCATTTTCACTCACTTAGCTTATTGACTCAAGGAATATGTGATGACCCAATTGTGTTTGGTGACCATGACTACAAGCAGCACAATGAGCTTCTGAAAGTCATGGTAAATGAAGGGTATGTGAAAGGGCTACTCAGTGAACAGCCTGCTTACAGTAAGAGACTACCACTTGTGTCCTCCCTTGATGCCAAATTCCATTTCATGCATGGGAGAATGCATTCTCAGAATCTCTGACTCTTAACTCCCCAGCTTTATCCAGAACTCTGGGATTCAGATCATTCAAGATTCTAGGTGGCAGAACTGGGAAAGGATTGTTAATTTATTATTTGGTTAACTTACTGGAAGAAGAGAATGGTTTCTTTTCCTTTTCCCACCCAAACAACTCCACCCTTCTGTAGATCTCATTCTTATTCTGTGGAAAGCCAAACCAGCTGCTCTCTTTCCAGGCCTGGCCTTGATTACAGAGATATTCCCAGCCAATGGCAAAGGCCTTGAGAAGTAACGGCCTCATCAGGCAAAGAAGTAGGCCTCAGTTAAATTAGAAATTGAGATATGGCAATATTATATTAAAAATATCTGAGTCCATTCACTGCTGTCTACTAATTTCTACGTACCAAATCATTCGATTTAGACCTTCCTGAGCTTAGACAAGCCCCAACACTGATGAATAATGGAATTAACAAAACTTTTTAACATTTCTGGGTATAACTGCTGAATTCTAGTACATTTTTCTGAAATGATAAGGTTTCAAATTCCCACGTCAGGACAAGTCATGGAATTTCTGAATTTCTTTCTCCAACCCCTGTTTCATGTTCCTAAAAGGACAACATAAAGTGTAACCCAAAACTATAGATGTACACTAACCATTCCTAACAGTATCCATAGTAATGGTTCTAACAGAGAGCACGCTGCGAATGTTGTTACCATAGGTCTTTTTGCTATTAAGTTGAAGAGTGTGCAATGCCTGGGTAGCATTCCCAGGATGGTGTGTTCTGAATGAGCTCAAGCATGCTCAGCCTGCCAGTACCTCTCATGGGAAAGCCTATCTGATCGGAGCAGAGTGAGCAGAGGGACAGGGTTCCGTTGCCAGGATCAGAAACACTGATGGCTTGCCTTTGTGCACAATAGAAAGCAGTTGTGCTGGAAGGTTAGGGAGTGTTAATAAGGGAATTAAGGGGAATGTGGGTCGCCACTTAAATTTTGCTTATTTTTCCTGGATGGATTTTATCCAATAGCAAAAAAGAATTTTGCAAAACTTTTATCCACCCACAGATTTTCACGAAAATGTCACTGACCAAAGACAGCTTTGAATTTTGTATGAATTGACTCATTTCTCCACAGGCATTTTGCCTGGCAAAATCCAGAGTATTTGCTTTGGCTTGAATACTGGGCAGCTTGCTTTTTAAGTAACATTGGATTATGAGTACAAGAAAATAAATACAGAGCTGGGGCTATGTCCCCATTCCTCTTTAACGGCCTGATTTATGGGTTCGTGGGCCAGCATTAGCCACGAAAGGCATTTCTTGAGGAAAAGTAAAATCAGTATAAACTGTGGAAGAAGGTTTTCTTCCACATCCTTTATTTTGTTATTTTGATAAGACTTGGCATTGATGTGGTGACTACAATTATATGACCAGAGAGACCTTAGGAAAATACCGTCTAAGCATAACTATTAGTTACCACTCCACAACCTTCATATTGGCAACAATTAATAAGTTCTCATAATGTCAAGTATTGATGAGGGTATGAAGAATGGGGAATGCTTCAATATTGCTGGTGAGAGTAAATTGTTGTAACCACTTTGGAAAAAAATTTGGGAATATCTACCAAAAGTGAGGATGAGCATATCCAACAAAACCATATCTGAGTGTCTAACCTACCTAGAGAAACTCTAATATATGTGAGAGACATACAAAAAGGAATTTACTGTACCTCTGCTTTTGAGAAATATAAATAACCTAAGTGTCCAGAGGGTAAATCAATAAACTGTGGTTTATTTGTAATGAAATAAAGGAGTTTAAAATTAATGAACTAGATATAAACCTCTAGATAGATAGATAGATAGATAGATAGGTAGATAGATAGATAGATAGACAGATAGATACCAATATGGATAAATCTCAAAAAACAATGTTGAATAAAAAAACTAAATGCTAAAGGACATATGCAGTGTAATATAATTTATGTACCTTTAAACACACAGTATTATATAGTTGTTATAAGTATATAATTACTTGGTTAAACAATAAAATTGTGTGGTCAGGATAGGTAGTAACCTTAGGATAGTGGATACTTCTGGAGAAGAAAAAAAACAGAAAGAAATGGGATCCGCGAATTTTGCCTTATCTTTTATTTAAAAGAATAAGAAACAAATACAGAAAAATAACTTCTTTTTAGCTTGGTGAGAATTGAAACAAATATGGCAAAATATTAATTCCTTTTTAGCTTGGTGGTG